CTGTTACCTGTGAAGCTGGAAAATATGTAAGAGCAGAGTTCAAACATTTTTTTTTAATTTTTTTTTGGGAAATCACAAGAGTTAGCTTTGGCACAAACAGAACAGCAGCAGTGGTTTTACAAGATGGAAACAAATTATTTTCACATTTCCATAATAAAGAGAAAGTAAAGGTGGCTCTACAGGCAGGACAGAAGTGAGACATGATTATCCCATTTCACATTAAACTATTACTAACCTAACCTAATGTAATTAAAGATAAACAGACAGGTATTGGCTGATGATGCAAAACTATCAAATCATAGGATTTGGCAATTGCACTATTTTAACCCCTTTCTCTTCTATTTATCTTTGTAACATGTTTCAGATTATTTTTTCTCTGTATGAATGATGCTCATAGGTCTTTTTTGTTAGTCCAACTGAAACTAACCATTATTTTCATTATTCAAACACACGGAAAAACAAACACTTTACATTCACGGTTTCAAAGATCTCCTAGCCAAGTGTCTTGAAGATGATAAACATATCACTGAACTAAGGGATTAAATGATTAACAGTCTACACACTAAAGCAAAGACCTTTGGTTTTAGACCGTGATAAAACAAGGTATCTGGCACTTTTTATTTACTGCTAAATAATAATAAGGCTGCACTCCCACAATTGGTGCACTTTTCCAGTAGAACACCAAATCGAAGAAATTGAGCGCTCCCCAGATCAAATACTATAAAGTTCTTGCACGTGTCAGTCACAGCTGTTCCCTGCACTGCACAGCTTCAAGGTTTCTGGGATGCAGCATGAACGAGTGACATTAAAAACAACAACAAAAACAGTCCACAAATAACAGACTGCTGAAAAAAGAAAACAACTAAGGTAGAAGGCAAAGGGTTTGTTTGGAGAAGCAGGCCATCATCTGCTGTGAAAACACTTCAGAGTTAGGGCAATTTCTTGGTCATAATCATGTAGCCCTATTTACAGAAAAAACATTAATCATGAAAAGCAGTGAAAATTAAAATTACTGTTTGTTTCAGCCTCATTAGGCAAGGAAAGGTATGCACCCAGAAAAGTACAAACAATGCCAACTGTGGCGTGACCAGCTGTAGTAGCTGAGGCATTACAAAGAAAGAAGCTTAAACACACTTGAGGTAGCAGCCAAGGCCAAACAGCAGGGCGTGTAGCTAAAGTTCACTGAGGTAAGCCTCTGCAATTACTTCCACTTCATGTTTACTCAGGGAGTTTGAAAATACGGTCAGTGCAAAAGTCCAGATTGTCAAGAAAACAAGTGAGTGGCAAAAAGGGTAAGAAGAATGGGTATATAGAGCAAAAACGCAGTCACAACTAAGGATATTACAGAGATACAAATATAGAAATATCCGTAAATTGGGCAACTACCTCAAAATTTAATCTAAGAGCAATTACAAAGTAACAACATGACACATTTGACATAAAATGTGGAAGATGATGCTGAAACTCTCAATACTTCATACTCTTAATTCTGTCATTATGAAAGCAACACGAGAGGCAACAACGTGTGATTTCAGTAAACCTAACACCTAACCCACAGAAATATGTAATATGTAACCCCAATCGCCACCTCCAATCTAAGATGCCCTAACCATAACTGTGACAATTCATAATGCAGACTGACAGCCAGGGCATTAGAGGACATATACCCCGAAGTATGTGTGTGCAAATGTGTTTCAGAGAAACAAAGCAGAGACCCTTTCACCTTCTCTCTCCTTTCCTCTGTCACTATTTGACACAACCCACCTGAAGATGTCATATTTTGTATTTACCCGTTCAGCACGATGGCTGTGACAACCAAAACATAAACAGATGATTTTAGTAAGGCTGAGATTTTAACCTTTAACGACTGCACCAGAGACGTGCGGTTCTTCTCAAAAGGTTTAAACCAGCCCACAGAAATCAGTATGGGGCTCTAAACTCTGCCTGAGTTTACCTATACTGGAAAGAAATAGAAAGAAGTTCATTAAGATTGCTTATATTTCATAAAAATAATATGAATCTTATTGGACTCATTTTATTTTCTCATGGCCGTGGCCCCTTTCAAAAATTTAAATAAAATAAATAAATCACACAGTGCTTCACCCTTAATGTAAACGCACAAGTTTTAGTTTTAAATGTAGACAAATTTGACATTTTTCACTCTGCATAACTAACTTCCATAACATTTATGGTCCATATAGAAATCCCTTCATAGGGCACAAACCAAAACTGACTCCAAGCACCTAAACTTGAGCACGGCTTGACTGCAAACCAGGACTCTCATCCTGAGCCGAAGGTAGACAGACAAGCTTATAGAAACTAAATCAACTAAACACAATATTCTTGAAAGATTTCAGATATTTTATACTAGACTTAGACTGACCTAAAAGCTTAATTTACTTATCCCTTTCTTAATAATTTGATATTAAGAAAGACATAGAACACCCCCCAAACATGTGACATCAGGAGGTAGTTTGATACATTTTTAGTACTTTTGCACAACTCTGCTAAACTTGTGTACAAAATTTAACATTCACACTTTTATTTTAAGCATGTTTGACAATTTAGAGGTTTGGGCTGCTGAACACCCACCGACGTTCACTGCTCCACAACCTTTTTGATGCCCAGGATATGATCAGTTGCCTGACAGCAAACAACCAATCACAGCTATTTTTTGTCACAGCCAGTTTAAATGAAAGCGAGAGTGCCAAACGAATAAATATTCTGTCTGGAAACAATCGCTGCTTTCATTCAGGGAAAAGCACATGACAGATGACAACAACGCAGAGTTAAAAACATTAACAATTCATCACAACAACTACACAATCACAAACCCAAATCACAACTTTGCTCCAAGCCCCGGGGAAGTGGGATTTTAAAAGTCAGACTCCCTTCATCTCACTTCGGCCCACAAAGACAGCAGCTAAAGCCTTACATTACATTTCCCTATGCCTCCCTCCAAGTAAACCAGCTGCAACAGCCTGTCAAGCACCAACTCCCTGCTGTAGCCGGAAGACAGATACAGTGACAGGACAGCCTGAAGGTATATCATCCAATGACAACCTCTGCCAGACACCAACAGCAAACCCAGCTGACCTCAAAGGGAGCACAAACTCAGCTTAAAGCCACACGTCAACTCAATTTGGTGGAGATTTAGAAAACATTTCAGTAAAATACTATTCATAATCTTGGAAACTTCATCGCTCTCATAATTTATAAAGTACTAAACAGTCTGTACACATCAGTGGTTCCCAAATGTGTTGGACGATCGCGTGACAATCACACATTATTAATGCAATTCGCAAATGAACAAAATGCAATGCATAAAATGTTAATTTTCCCCACCAGTACTTTGATTGCACTCATTCCCCGAACAGAAGCAAACTCTGTACCCTAAAAATATGATCAGAGACTTCAAAGGGAACCCCATTCTGTTCACACAGTTGCAGGGTAGTGGGAATTATGAGAGTGTGACAAATCAAAGGCCCTGACTGACAGAGAGGAGCTGACAGCAAAAATCTGCAAGGGAGGAAATACATCACTCTGTTGTTTGGAGCAAAATAAAAATGAACTGCCAGTGCAGACCACCCAGCACCTAAAGAAAGACTATAAGACAGCATTGTGAAAGCTACCTGCTTTATAGATTCAGGTAGACTGAGAATGTCAAGACATTTGGCCTGCTTCAAAAGAGCACTGGATGTGTAACAAGGCAATCGAAGCACAGTGTATACTTGCTGAGCAGCAATTAAAAAAAAGAAAGAAATTTCTAGATGCTGCAAATGGTTTATCAAGAGGGCCTGCAGCAATGCATTCCAAAGAAGAGTTGATGGCATGTTTGACAGAGGCTGCTTTGCACAGATGATTAATAAGTGTGCCTTTGAAGATCAGCCCTGCCCTTTGCTGCCTGTTCAGAAGAATATGTTTAAAAACAAAAACCCACTGGTATACATAACCAGATTTTAAACCGACAAGCTATACTTTATATACTGATGATGCCTTTACTGGAACCCCCCATCAGCTTTTATACAGCTCCATGCTTCCAATTTTCCAATTATCAACACTTCCACAAGAGCTCTTATCAACCAGAAAGTAGATGCACAACCCAGAAAGATAAAGGCAAACTCCTGGTCTCTGCTTTTAGATGAGAACAATGCTTTTTGTGTAACTGAATAAATTATCATACATCAAGGCAGTGTGACTGCAGTTTGTTAAGTGACATTATAGATGGAAAAAACAACGGGAAACCACTGATTCATTGTTTTTGCTTCTAAATGATACTCTGTTAGCTCAGCTCAGAGGATGTGCTCATACCAAATACCAATCTCATACCTTTCTTTTCTCAAAATTCAAACTCTGTTTATCTTACTGGAACAGATACTAAAAAAAATGAAGTCCCATGGGAACTGAATAACCTATATTCAATATTTAAGTAAAGGCTTTCAGACACACACTTAATAAGCATCATGTCAGCTTCTAATACATATGTAAGCAGGGAAACCTCACATTTTCATTTGTGCATAGTGTCAAAAACTCCCTGAGGTGCTGCTTAACCCACTTTTATAACCTGAAAATTTAAGAGTGCAGAGTGAAATATTACTGTCAATATAATTACAATTCTCCAGGGTCAAACAACAATGGCTCCACAGACCACCTTACTGCTGGGGAAGGGAAAACTCAGCAGCAGCCTTCAGCTCAGGTTTGGTTCTGCTGAAGCACTTGCACGCACACATGGATGTGCACGCACACACAAACTCTAAACCATTAATCTTGTTAGGACCTCTTACAGGAGCTCATGGCAACAAACTGACACAACCACAAAAGCACATGCAGATTTAGACACACAAGCACAGGCACCCCCGCCCCTCAAAAAACACACACAATGTTGCTCCCTTATGAAACACACCCACTACATGACAACAGTAAAACCATCTTGACAATGTGACTCAACTTGGTGGCTATCCAATTCAAGTGTGGCAAAGTAAATGAGAAAACGCACTGACCGTGACTCGGGCTGAGAGCCATGTTGCCTGAATTCAAGGCTTCATCAAAACGAGCAAATATCGTCTGTAACCTGGAGAAAGAGAAAAGGAAGATTAGTAGTGTCGAGCACAGATATACAGTACAATGTTAATATCATCAAAGCTGTCAAACCAAACATATTTGAATGAAGAAATTACAATAAAGTCCAGATTTTTAAAATCACCCCACAGAGATGTTTGACCAAAACACAAACAAGGTGCTAAGAATTCCAAATGAGACTCATCATCAAAATCAGCAGCAGAAGCAGCAGCAACATGTGGACAGTCTCCACGCCTTTCTGTCTGATTGTGGGTGGGTGTGTCTATTATGGCAGTCACACTCATGAAGCTGCAGCAGCAACACCCCAAGTGTCCTCTTATAACATCCTACTAGCATCAGACAGACACACATGAAACCACCAGCCAGGTCTGCTTAGTCATGTGATTAATAGGTAGCATTGTCAGCGTAGTAACAGGGCAGATATCCAGCACAAGCTAAAATAACTTGGTCATCCTCGAAATGCACAACTGGTTAGACAAAAACACAACAAAGACTAAAACACATGACCCCGAATAACATGCCTTTATGTCTGCTTTGCCGAAAGGTTAACCACGGATGGGCGCACACAACAATTAGAGCAATACACACCGTGCTCTTTCTGTCTCTGTCTTTTGGTGTCTGCTTGCCGGTCCACAACCGCCAGACAGCTAAGCAGCTTCTGATAAGTGACGATTAGCGTTGCAACTAGCTCCTCAGCCGTGCACCATTTTCACGTGGTTCGCTTTCTTTCATTAGCATTTTGTGCATCTATTTGTTTCAGCAAAAATCTAGCATTTAGTCTTCAGCACTGATTTGCATCAGTATTTCCCTGTGGGCTGATTAATAGCTTGCTGCGTTGCTACGCAATCTTGCATTAGCTCCCATGTTGGTGACACACTCTGGTCCTCAGCTCCCCTCAGCTCTTTGTATCCAACATGGTGCAGTGGCTCCAAGAGGGAGGGAGGGAGGGAGGAAAGAAGACGGGAAGAGAGGGAGGGAGCGTGTGTGTGAGAGGGAAAGAGAGAGGGGGGAAGCCAAACGGCGAGAGACCAAAGCATGCTACGGGCATGCGACAAAGCACCACCTACTGTCACGCATACACACTGTACACACAAACGCCAACTGAACAACCTAAACAGCAATACGTACAGTAAATTTCCAGGAAGCGTCTTTGTGTGTCTGTATGAGCAGGAGAGAGAGTCAAATGGGCCAGTTTGTGTGACAGACAGCAACGAGATTCAGTTACCCTTTACATAACCTCCCTCTCATACACAGACACACACGTACTCGTCAGAGGGGGAGGGGCTGTGTGGCTAACAGCAGACAGCGCTGCTCCTCCCCCCTCAGTGTCTCGCCTTCTCATCCCACTTGCACATGTTCCCTCCCTCTTCTTATTTCTATCTTTTATCTTTTTATCGCGGCCATTGATAAACACCTTTGTCCAGCAGAGGACTCATGCCCTTCAGGTAACTCATCTCCAAATCAAACCACATGAGGCAGGCCTGATGAATGCTCACTCAACCAGCATTTGACCTACTTATAGGAAGCTGCTGTCAGATGGTAGCCCCTTGTTCTTACCAGTAATGGACCCAAGATTACAACTGTACTTCCAGACACAACGCCAGTAAATAAGCCAACTGTAAAATTAAGTTCCACTTTCAGGTTTCTTCATCACCATTATGTCATTTGAAATAGGTTTGAAATTTCAATCTAAGTCCCATTCACAACACCTGATCACCAAATCCAAGAAGTGTTTTGGCTCGTGTCAGCAGGTTTAACCTGTGTCTAAACATCTGATCTGAGGTCATAAGATATGCACATCTATATGTTTATTTCACTGAAAATTGATTAGATGAAATTACTTATTATGAATTATTTCAAGTTAGAACTGGAACATTTTGAGACTGTTGTAAGGGGGGGAATGTATTTAATTATACAGATAATCCCATCAAAATTCAGTGTCTCATTTACAACAGAGAGCTGTTTCAAACAGAAACTTAATTTTGGGAAATAGCTTTTAACCATTTATCTGGCACAGTCCAAAAGAGGTTTCAGATTGTAATAATCACTTGCCTCCACGTATCTTTAAAAATGTGTGCTTGTTTGGTATTTAAGGGATGTGGACATACTCATCCAACAATTATTCCTCTTTTATGACTTCATCTTTCTGTCCATTATCTAATGCCAACTCTGCAGAGTTGATATGTCATCAAGTCAGCAAGATCCTGGCCAGAGCTTTGCTTTCCACTAGGTAACCCTTTGGGTTGCTCCATATGAAATCAATTATTAAATAAACAAAACAATTTAAATTGAATTTTTTTTTAAAAAAACCCACTGTACAATAACATTAGTATATTAGGTATATTAAGTTACAACCCCTCAAATTATAGGGGTGGACATTTTTGTACTTTATAATTTGCGTTTGCGTTATTTTTTCCAAGCATTACACGACACTTGGAGTGGTTGTGAAACTGATTTGGCTGCAGTTTTTAAACAGAGCTTTAATGTGTTTTCACTCTGAAACTTTCACAACGATACCTACTGTAATGTTTTGAAGCCTCAAAAATTAATTAGTAAATAAATGCATAACACAATTTAAAAAGCACAAAATTCTCACATACCTCTATGGGTCTGTAACTCAGACAACTTTCATAACATGAAGGTAAAAATTTAGCATGGCTTCATTAAACATATGAACAAAAAACGCACAATGCAATTCCAACAGCTTTGCTCCAGGTTTTGTACTAAGGCTATTTGCCTATAGCAGACCTGAAGCTGACTGAAACATCACAAATAAAATTAATGAGAGTTTTGATCAGTAAAACTGCAGTATTGTAGATATTCTCACCCCTATTCTTATACAAACTATACAAAGTAATAAAAACTGGTTTGGGAGATTCGCGATACATACAATACATATAAAAATTCACGTGCAGAATTCAGTAATAACTATACACATCTGTTCAGGAAGAACAAGCGCAGGCTGTAAATCACTGCATCTGTCAGGCCTCCGATATTTAAATGAAGGCAGACAGCCACACCACTCTGTAAATCCCACACATTCAGACCGTGTGTTTACACTGGAGACGGACTGGCTTAATATGCACAGCACATGACACATGACCACAGCCAGCATTCACAGACGCAAGAATCATACTGAGCAGATACAGCACTGGCCGTATGCTCGACTCTCACACATGGGAGAAAGCAGTAAAAAGGGGGCAGAAAGAAGGGGTCATTGGGTGCTCAGAATAACCTTCAACCCTGCACATGTAGCCAGGACGACCAAAGCGGGACAAACCCCCACATTAAACCTCTTCTGATGACTCAAACACAGTTTTTACCCCCATTTCTGTTACTCCACCCAAAGCCTTTGTACCCCGTGGCTGCACCCTCTCACCCTCCTCCCTCATTCAGTCGGCATTGTGCTCTGGATGAAAGTGCCTCTGTGTGTCTGAAGGGCAGAGTGGTGCATGGTGTGGCTTGGGACAAACTGAGTGCCAAGGCCACGGGACTCCATAGAAACACAGGCAACAACAAACTCAAAAAATAAATATAAAAATAACAATAATTAAAAAAAAAAAAAAATACTACGAAAAAGAACAAAAACTCACCGTGCAGCTGGAAGTCCTCTCTTTCCAATGTCTGCTCTGACCTTCTCTCCAACGTGACGATAAACATCCACCAGCGTTGTTATTGATGCCTCACGTACCTAAACAGCAGACGTTCACCAATTTAATAACCCTCCACATATAAACACATGGAAAGAGATTCAAGTGATGGGTTACCTAGCACACTATAAAAAATGATCTTTGTGTTTGTTAAGACTGAGATCGATTCTCCCTCATAATTCGACAAAGATTAGACTCATGCTCATAGACTAAGAGACGCAAACATGCAAACACACTAAAAACTAAACCCGTGAGAGCCCATACTCTTCCCTCCTATGGGAGCCATACGATTTGCTAGTTATTGCTGTAAACACTGTTGTGATTGGCTACAAAGATATTGTTGAAGGGATTCTTAGCACCCAAGGGTAGGCAGGCCTTTCTAGGATGTTGATTGGCCAGGACAGTATGTGGGTAGATAATCATTGGGTAGAAGATAGAAGCAGATTTCAGCTTTGGGGTGCAACTCTGCAGGAGGTTAAACCAACCTCTCTCTATTCCTCACACTGACACACACACACACACACACACACACACACACACACACACACACACACACACACACACACACCTAATACTCTTGTGTGGTTTAACAACTGGGTGCTCATGATTCAGCAGTGAAGCTGGGTGGTGGGTACAGAGCCCATCTCCTCACTAATAACAGTAATAATCACAGAGCTGCCTTAAGATGAAACCCAACACACTTTGACTGCTGAGAGCTGAACAAAAAGGCTTATCGACAAACTGGCTCAACAAAAACAATGACGAGCCACACGCAGTCAAAACAAACACACACAAAAAGGTACAATTTTCCGCACCATCATGTAATCATGTATAACACTGCAGCTCTTACCTGTGGGTTTTGGTCTCCTGTCAGCGAGCAGAGATGAGGAACTATTTTACTGAGGCTCAGCGGTTGGGCTCCATACCTGAGAGTGTGAAACAGAGGCACAAGAGGAAACGTAAAAGAGAGAGGTGACAGTTGCCAGTGATAAATATAATTATCTGGTGTTCTTTTATAATGGAAATCTTGCTCCGCTCATTGAAAATATTTTTAGAAATTTGAAAAATATATCTAAGGCAGACTGATATTTTAGTAGCCTGTTATAAGCTACAAACACTATCTACAAACCACACACACACACACACGCCTCAGAAATTTAACATCACACAAATATAAAAAAACATTAGTAGACAAAGATCGTTTCTTAATTTCTTCTGTTTTGTCCATTCCAGTTATGTAAAAGACCCCCCCCCC